TTTATAGTTGTTATGATGTTAGGATCTTTGTAAACATCATACAACTCGTGGTTATAGCGCGTCCTCCATATCTCGTTTTCCCGCACAGCACCGAATATCCGTCTTAGAATCTTACGCTCGAACACAAGTAGACGGTTCTCATCTTTTTTGCTGAGTACCCATGTCTCTGAGCCATAAATAAGAATGGGTCTCAGTAGGGTCTTGTATAAAAGAATTTTGATATTTCGTGACAGAATTTTGGAACAGAAATATTTAAGCAGGCCGAAGTAGCATTTATTCGCCGACAGTATTCTCTTAACTATTTCTGCTGTTATATTATTATTATTCGTTATCAGAGAACCAAGATATACAAATTCATTCACAGATCCAAAAGTATGCTGGCCAATATTTTTATGCGCTGTGTCCTCACGTAAGTCCCTCGACACCCTCAGGAATTTAGTTTTGTCTGCGTTTACTTGGAGACCGGCTTCGAGAGACGAGGCCTCGAGAGCAAGGTACGCACTTTCTACTGCGAGAGCTGATCTGCCAATGACGTCAATATCATCCGCATATCCCAGTACTTGAGCGGATTTGTAATATATATTGCCCGTCGTCTCTATTGCTGAGTCACGGATACACTTATCGAGTGCAACATTGAAAAGAAGGCAGGAGAGGGCATCACCCTGCCTTAGTCCATCATGGGTTCTAAAAGGATCCGATAGGTCTGTTTGGATCTTAACAATGCTTTGCGATGCAACCAGTGTCATCCTTGTTAAAGATATAAGCTTCGGTGGTACGCCAATCTCATGCATAGCCTGGTATAGGAAATCACGGCTTATGTTGTCGTAGGCAGCTTTAAAATCAATAAAAAGGTGATACGTGTCAGCATTAAATTCAAGAGTTTTTTCAAGTATTTGTCGTAGGGAGAAGATTTGGTCGATGGTTGATCTGCCAGGTCGGAAACCACACTGATATTCTCCTAGTCTAGGCTCCACGAAAGGTTTTAATTTGCCAAAGAGAACGTTCGCAAATATCTTATATGCTGTATTGAGGAGTGAAATGCCTCGATAGTTCTGACAGTCGAGAACATCGCCCTTCTTGTGGAGAGGACAAATAACCGCTGTGTTCCATTCCTCAGGCATAACTTCAGAATTCCATATCTGCAGTACTAGTTTATGGAATTCCTCTTCAAACTGGGACCCAGCGTATTTGGTTGGTTGACTGGTAGAGAATGCTTTAGGCATAAACTCCGCCAATGTAAATTTTACATGAAGTGTAATAAAAAAATAAATAAAAAAATCGCATTGTTTACAAATCGAACATACTAAATATACATTGTAGCCGGTTACAATCGTTTACAATCATACGCGTATAGTGCATTTATAAATTAACAGAGCGTATAATTAGACGAACAAATTTGGCCCTGTCGATATCATTGGACGCGCTCGCGGGATTCCTAGAGTCGCAACCGGCCAGGGGATGTCAACTTTTAATTAATTAGCCAGATCAATCAGCTGATAATTAATTTTGTTTGTTAGGGGCGATTTTTCATTCAACAAATAAACTGTAACTTAGTTAACTAAATATTGAATTTATTTTAAATTATTTCGTTCATAGGACAGTTTTTTTTTGTTATATATTTATGTTGTAATGAAATGAATGATGTAATGAATGAATGTTAAATAATGAAAGCTTATGTTTTTTTAAATTTTCGAACGTTTTGAAATTTGAATTAGAAAATTTTTTGCGCGGTATGACTTCAGCGAGGTTAGAAAGTATTATATTAATTTATCTACCAGTTTTGGGTAATTTTGTAGTTTCAAATAAACATTTTTAAACAAGTTAGCAATTAATTTCGAATTAATTCCATTTCATGTATCGTGTGGCGACGCTATTTAACGAGAGATAAAAAATGTTAAGGACAGTAAACACGGTCCAAGATGAGGCTTCTCTACTGAATACATTGCTGAGATGATTGGAACCACAGAAAATGAGATATCAAAGTTATCGTGCCAATAGTAAAATGGTTGAACGACACCGAGATGGGGTGAAGTTCATAACGACCCAACGATGAAAATATTTTTTTGCAAATTGCCGCGAGAAGACACCGTAATTTTGCATGGCCATGCAGTTGGTATAAAGCAAAGCACCAGTTGGTTCGAGTGGAAGTGGAGTGGAATTGTGAGGAAAAAACTGCAAAACTGATAGCATCCCTGACCGACATGTGACATGCGACTGTACCTAACACAATGTAGACTGTTGTAGACAGAGATACACGGAGAAAATTTGTGCAAGGAGTGGTCAGAGAACAGTCTTCAAGCTAGATATAGTTTTCAAAAATAAAGATATCGACTTGGAAAAAAATAAGACGAAGAAGACTTTGATATCTTGATTCAAAGCATGAAAAACCGCTGCACGACCGTTGTTAACGTCGTAAGTTGACTACTGATTTTTGGGAATAATTTAAAAAACGGAATAGTTTTTCACTCTCTTTTGACAAACATATTCATTATTAATTTTCTATTATTCCACAAATTTGGTTTTTATTTAAATGTATATTTCAATTTTTTCAAAAAAAAATTTTTGTGTCTATCTAAAGACTAGCCTGATAAATAGGCTTAATGAAAATATGTACAGGCTTTATTTACATTGTACATGTTTTTATTTATATATAATTTTGAATTAATTTAGAAAATCCGAGATATCCCGAGGCAGTGTTTACATGTGTATTTTACATTTGCCTCATTAGAATTTCAAAATCAGCCCTAGTCTATAAAGTTTTGTTTTTGGATGGAGTACTTACTGGTTTAGACATTATAAGTTGTTGGATTCGAAATTCAGAGTTAAAATTGTTGTTGGCTTTTTAGGTTAGTCTGGTTGCTATTTTCGACTGGTCGTAGGTCTGTCGAGGCGATTCGCCCAGCCCTTGTGGACTGGATGAATCGTGACCGAGGACGCCTCACTATCCGGCTCACGCAGGTGCTCACTGGGCATGGTTGCTTCGATTTGCTACTTGGTAGAAATTAGCTAGATGATGGTACGCATTCATGGTATCTACCCTCTGACCTAAAATGAAGAAAAATGTAATCCTGCTTAGTTAACATAAGAACTAACAGAAGCTTAGTCTACGATTAAAGCAGGTGTATAATTGAGAATACGACTTCATGTCAAGGTTACTACAAGGTAGGTACAAGATTACGAACTCATGTCAAAGTTACATTGACTACTACTATAAACTTACAAATCGTAATTCATATTATTAATATTTGTAATAATCACAGAAATAGATCACGTAAACACGCAGCTGTATTTAACATGCTTACTACAAAACATAAAAAAAACACATCCAAAATTGAATTTAAATTTATAAATAATTAAATGAACAATTAATTAATCCCGTCAAGTGAACAATGGATCACCCCTGAAATATTTACAGGCGGAAACAAATCGCCCCCGCGATATATAAGCGGACTAGGTACGTGCGATCTGGATCAATCACAGAATCGAGACAGTCAAGTCATCGTATTACTGTGATTTATTGGCCGGGAACAAACGAGAATGGTGCGTGCTCGTGATCAAACGTAACAGTGATAACTGATAATAATAATAATAATAGTAGCATCGAGTTTTTTATTATTATTATTAACATGTACTATGTTGAAAGTTTTGTTAATCGTGTCTTTCTGTTTCTGTTGCATGGATTTCGCGCAGGAGGAACTGGACAAAAATCAACTGCTGCGTAAGTTTATTAGACATACAATGTTAACTCTTATTAAGCCTTGTTCGGACTAGGCGAGTATTTTAGTCGAGTACCGGGTGATTTAGTGGCTAAACTACTCGATAGTCGCTCGAAAAAATAGAACAAAATGGATTGACTTGACTATATTATTTACTAACCTACTCGACTAAATTTTTGGTGCTCAGACACATTTAGCGACTAAATTACTCGGTACTCGACTAAAATACTCGCCTAGTCCAAACAAGGCTTAAGCGTTTAAGCGAATATATCTCAAATAACAGCCAATTTCGAACTTATCAAACTGGATCTAGACGTATTGTGAGATTATTTTTATTTTTTAATTAGATTATTTTGAATGGTGGTAGAACCTCTTGTGAGTCCGGACGAGTGGGTATCACCACCTTGCCCATTTCTGACGTGAAGCAGTAATGCGTTTCGGTTTGAAGGGGGGCAGCCGTTGTAACTATACTGAGAACTTAGAACTTATATCTCAAGGTGGTTGGCGCATTTACGTTGTAGATGTCTATGGGCTCCAGTAACCACCTAACACCAGGTGGGCTGTGAGCTCGTCCACCCTTCTAAGTAATAAAAAAAAATAAAAAAAATTAAATTCGGCGCGGTAATCCGACTATATGTTTAAAATATTTTGTTAACGGCAGCCGATCTTTCTGCCTGTTAAAAGGTTGATGATCGGTGACCTAGAGGGAAAAAAGAATACATATCAGTAAAGTGGTCTTTGTGCAACAATGTACTAATTAGCGATACATTTTCGCCATTTGAGTTCCTAAGTCGATGTGAATGTTGATTTTTATTTTATTGCCGTATCTATCTAGTCGTGCAGCAAAACTATGTTTCAAGTCATCGCCCAAACACAACGTAGAATAATTACCGTCTGCCACCTATCGATCCTACAAATCAACAATTAGTTCACCTTGAATTTAGTTTTCAGTTATTATTGAACCTATATACCTACTCTTTTAAAACAAAGACTTGTTTTAAACGACATTTTTTTCGGAAATCCCACGATACATCACGGAATGCATTATCTTCACACTATTATTTTTTTTATTTTTTTTTATTCTTTTTTTCTGATCATAGCCGCAGCCTACCGATAATTTTTTCTATCACAACGACGTTTGTCAAATATGATATTATGACTGGTTGTGCTCTTAACACGGGTTCTACTGTTGTTCTTGTTTTTTCTATCTATTTCAGTCTGAAGGAACTTTGACCTCGAGTCGAAAGACGTGGGCAAAATTCGCGTTATTGTATATATACACTGAATAGTTGCCTGCGTAATTATGTAAATAAACAGAATGGAAGGCAGTCGACGTCGCCCANGACGTTTGTCAAATATGATATTATGACTGGTTGTGCTCTTAACACGGGTTCTACTGTTGTTCTTGTTTTTTCTATCTATTTCAGTCTGAAGGAACTTTGACCTCGAGTCGAAAGACGTGGGCAAAATTCGCGTTATTGTATATATACACTGAATAGTTGCCTGCGTAATTATGTAAATAAACAGAATGGAAGGCAGTCGACGTCGCCCAAAACACGTCATCTCGGATCCTACCGATCCACTAACGGTGCTTTTAGGTACTTCAAGCACCGGCCACCGTTCTCGTCGAACCCGTCGCTTGCGACGAAGGGCTCGACGAGTAAATTAACTCTCAGACACAGCCCACTGAGTTTCTCGCCGGATCTTCTCAGTGGGTCGCGTTTCCGATCCGGTGGTAGATTCTGCGAAGCACGGCTCTTGCTAGGGTTCGTGTTAGCATCATCGTCAGGTTTGAGCCCCGTGAGCTCACCTACTAGCCACGGTTACGCTGAAATAGCCTCTCAAGGATATCAGCTTAGGTAGGAAAAAAAAATGTAAATAAAAGGAATTTAATGTTTTCAGTACTGAAAAACGCTTTCGATGCCTTCGACCGCGAGAAGAAGGGTATCATCAGCACCGACATGATCGGGACTATTCTAGAAATGTTAGGTCATGAGCTTGATGATGACACGCTGAATGAAATCATTGATGAAATTGATGTTGATCGTAAGTATTATACAACTAAATAATCAAATGCGAAAAGCGGAATCCATGGATGGCGGAATGGACGAGCTCACAGCCCACCTGGTGTTAAGTGGTTACTGGAGCCCATAGACATCTACCACGTAAATGCGCCACCCACCTTGAGATATAAGTTCTAAGGTTAAGTAATAGTTACAACAGCTGCCCCACCCTTCAAACCGAAACGCATTACGGCTTCACGACAAAAATAGGCTGGATGGTGGTACCTACCCGCGCGGACTCACAAGAGGTCCTACCACCAATAAAGAATGTCATTGTGCCAAATTAAAGAATAGTGGCAAATCATCTGTAATTTTCATCTGCGATACATGATGCATCTGGGGGATCGTTAAAGTTCAATTCACACTTGCTTTGTTGGATATAATTTGGAAAATGCCGCCATTAAACATTTATAGTCTGCTGGACTTCAAGAGTTGTGGGAGCTATACTGGGTAATAGCTTGAAAATTGAGCTTAGGGACGATGGTTTTATTTCTAGTTACAAAAGTTACAAATATAGGTACAATAAACGTTAAAGAAATTTGAAATGACATTTATTCCCATATTCGCGATTGCAGTGTTGACGTCACAAAATATTAATATTTGACTAAATTGAGTACTTGTACTAAATTTAGGGAATAATTGTATCTAGAAGAATGTAGAGATGTGTAGGACTCTGATGAATTTACGGTACATTATGGCACCGTAATAAAATATTTACAATTGGTAATGATAGATTTAGGAAAATACAGTAAATCTACCGTAATAAGGAACCGTATCCACTAGACTAGAAGCTTAATTCAAAACTAGTTTAAATATGTGGCAATAGATGGCACTGTTAACAAAACGTGAAACTATTATCGTTTTTTGTAAATGTTATAGATAACGCTAATTACCAATTTAGCTTTGATATAAATAAAACAGTGTAAAATAGTGTAGTGTTAATCTAAAATTTAAATAAATAAAATATTTAGTAAAAATTATGGTACAATGTGGAAACTGAAATTGTTTGTCTTTATTAATATTTTTTATAGTGTACCCTTGGCGAAATTTGTGATTATAGAAGTATAAAATACAATCATAATAGTGTACAAACTTACAATTCCAATTAATTATAGTCGAATTTCGACTACTGCGGTACCTCTAGTTTCTTTAGAAATATGATAAAAGAGTAGAAAAACTAAAAAAAAAATTACACTTCACTATTTATTACATGTAATGTTGCCATTATCACAAAAATTCGTTTTGGAAGATCATTGAAAATTACAAAAATAACATCTCACCGTGACAATGTTTTCACATTGCCGTGACCAGGATTCGAACCTGGGTTACTACGGCCACAACGTAGGGTCCTAACCACTAGACGATCACGGCTATTGAGACATGTAAGAAAGTGGCGAATTTACGTATAGCTTTCTGAATTTTTAAACAAATATAATTTAATTAATTTTCGTATTACATATTTTGGTGTACATAAATCAAATAGTATAAATACATTGGGTACACTGCTCATTGCCAGACAATCGTCGTTCCCAGGATAGTATCGTCAACGATGTAAAATTCACCCAAACTGAGTTCACTCAATTCACAAGAATGAGTTTAAAAATGAATTAGGTAGGTATGTATGTATATGAATGTACTGACCGATACAATTAAAGATTGGCGTGGGCGATAGATCTATTTGCATCAACACCGTTATTATTATTATCGTTTTGTTGACGTATACAGAAAATGGGTTCACATTTCCACTATTTATTTTTAACACGTCTATCTGATAACCCTAAGTATGATTAATGATGATAATACAACAACAAAAAGTAAAAGAAAAAAATATATCATTAACCTATTATGTGTACAACTGTTTTATTGTAAGTTATTAATATTTTTTTTTACATAAATGAGCGATTGATCATTATTTTAAATTTCGTTAATTATCACAAACCGTACTGTTCATTTATCTTTATTAATATACATTATGATGAAAAGAGTTAAAATGTAAAATAAATACAGTAGATACAAATGATCTTTTAAATTCTATTTCGGTCGTTTGGATTGTCGATAATCCCATTATCACGGACCTTTGTATATTATTAAACACACACATTACGTGTAAGGTGCTAAAAAACATATTTATCATTCTAGATAGTGGTCAGTTAGAGTTCAATGAGTTCTGCACACTCGCAGCAAAGTTTTTAACAGAGGAAGATCAGGATGACGAAACCATGAGACAGGAACTGAAGGAAGCATTCCGGTTATACGACAAAGAAGGTATTTGGTTATATTTGACACGTTTTTATTCGTTTGGTCTAGTTTTTTTTTGTCTACATATTTGCTATTGCACGAGGCTTAGCCTTGGAGACTGCTAACATCTGCCCTACTAAGAGCAATGCCACCCTAAATNTTTAACAGAGGAAGATCAGGATGACGAAACCATGAGACAGGAACTGAAGGAAGCATTCCGGTTATACGACAAAGAAGGTATTTGGTTATATTTGACACGTTTTTATTCGTTTGGTCTAGTTTTTTTTTGTCTACATATTTGCTATTGCACGAGGCTTAGCCTTGGAGACTGCTAACATCTGCCCTACTAAGAGCAATGCTTCGCTGAATCTCCGAGAGGATCGGAATCGCGTCTCACTGAGAAGATCCGTCGAGACACTTAGTGGGCTACCTATTCGTTGGTAGCATAAGAGACTATTCCGGCTACGCCTGGACGGGTAGGTGAGCTCACGGTATCAATCTGAAAGAATTTGCTAACATTAGCCCTAACAAGAGCAGTGCTTCGCAAAATCTACCACCATCGGAATCGCAATCCACTGAGTTCGGTGAATTCAGTGGGTTCAAGTGAACTATGTCTTAGGGTAACCTGTATCTATCTAGTTATGTAACGGAATATTTTAACGTAATTTTCACCAACCAGTTATTTTCCATTATCTTTAAAATTTACAGACGTATACATAGGATCGATGGCTTTACAATAATTGATTTTATTTTGACTTATAACCGGATATTATTTTTTTTATCTTAATTTTTAAGTTTAGCTTGCTATTAAAACGTGTTTTTTTTCTACAATTTTTGTTTCTTACGTTATTATTTCATATCTTCTTTAATGTCTTATTATATTTACATGAATCAAGAAATAGGCCGGATAGATTACGATTCCGAGAACTTTTGAATTGTATCGATGATATTAGTTTTTCTTCTTCTTTTTCGTTGTCATGTACTTAATAGATTAGTTTTTGTCCTAATTTTACAGTCTTTTCTTGACTGTACTCTATCGGATCTATTTTGATAATATATTTCTTTTAGGAAAATTGTGTGGAGTTAATTAATGATGAAATATGCGATTTTAAGCATAATGGCGAATAATCTGTGACGTTTTTATGTTTAGACTAGGTAATGTTTCACTGATTTTATAGAACTATTCACAAACTCATTTCATTTTCTATTGATTGAATCAGGTAATGGCTACATAACGACAGAAGTACTTAAGGAAATCTTCAAGGAATTAGATAACACAATTTCGCCCGAGGATTTGGATAACATGATTGAGGAAATTGACTCTGATGGATCGGGAACAGTAGACTTTGAAGGTATGCTTGGAGATGGTTTATTATAATTTAACGTCTTGTTTTTGTGTTGTTTTGAAAAAGACGTCTGGGCCGAAGTTGAAGTAACAACGACTTAAAGTATGCCTCCTTAGCGAAAAACGATCTCTATCGCCTAAGCTTAGTGAGAAAACAATAACTTAATAAAACGGTTTTGGTTAAGTCATTTTTCTTGAACGCGCAATGGATTATCAATCAACTGATGTTTTTGATAAAATTTTTGTGTGTATTTGTGGGTTGATGGTTTAGATTTACCAGACCATTAGACCTTGTGGCTTGCGGCGTAATTGAGTCGGCCTTGTTTGATATTTCGCTAAGAATTTCTTTTTTATAATTATAGGGCGTCGTCCTTCTACTACATTGTCAAGCTTACGTGTCTTAACAGATACACGTTTTTTGTTTCAGAATTTCTTGAAGTGATGACTGGCGAATAAAATATTGTAAAGCAAATTATACAATTGCCTACTTCACAAAGACTAAAATCTCAATAAGTAAGACACAAGCATGTTGCCTAATTGTCTTAATTCCTTTTAATGATTAAGGATGTTATTAAATTTTAAGATTATAATATTTTAGTGTACAAATTACTGCGCGTAGTAGTTTAAATGTAAGAGAAATAAAATAAAATAATAAAATCCAAATGTTTTTATTACAACGCCATCTATTAGATATATTGAAACTACACTGGTACTGCTATCTTAGTCTTGATCACGTTTTTGAATACGGCACGAGATGGCAGCACTCAACCGAAAAATAAGTTTTTAAGACCGACGTATTGTGATTTTGTTTAAAATTTAAAATAGATCGGAATCTGGGTAAATTCTCTTAAATTTCTTTGTTCCAACTTCTTCAAATTTTCTACGTTTCTTCGATAAAATTTCTTTGTTCATAATATTGATGGTGCTTTATAATTTTCTTTTTAGTAAATACATAGTACATTAGGTACTTACTCTGTTTGTTAAATTCACGAGCGTAAAAATTTAAAATTCATTACCTATTCATATTTAAATGTAAATTTTAACCTACGCACCTAATACGAAAGAAAATATTAGTGATACAACAGTAAACATTGTATAATATTTTTGTCCTAAAACATTTTTTTACTTACTCTATTTTATGGTAGGGATTTTAAACATATAATTTTATTGGATTAAGTTAAACATTTCACAAATTGCTAGGATTTCCTCTTGATTTATGGACACCGTAAATACCCAAATACCAAATATTAACACAAATACCGAAAGTCGGTTTTTTTCAATAGGTACCCAGTGCGAAGAAGGTCTTCCCCAAATTTAACGTGAAGATATTAACACACCCTGTAACGTAAACGATCTCTAAACCACAAACAATTACGACCTAAAAAGGCCTAACTTTATGTAACAACTACCTAAAATCGAACGATTTTCTCGAACAATATATTAACAGCAAAAACCTAAAACGCTTTTAGATTTCTCGAAATTATCAAATATTGTCGCAATAATGTAATTCGTTGTGCGTGCCCATAGCTATTGTATTTAAAAAGTGTAAAAAATATTGATAGCAACAAAAACTACGGTGACCAAATGCAGATCAATGTTTGTTCTCAATCACGTTTGTTATAAATATTATTTCTTCGATGTGTCTCGTAATGTTGAATATAATAACCAAGGCCTTTTAGTTGGATATTTAATAACTAAGACTATTGAATTCTTGAAACCGAAAATAAAAGAAGCAACATCAGAAATCACTACATGTTTACAAGCAGTTTTTGCTTTGATTACTTAGTGAGTAAGAAAATTATTTTCTGTTTATATCTTGAAATTTTCTCGGTAGGAAGACGTTCATAAATGTCTTTTGCGCGATTCAGGGTTTTACCGGATTACTTCAGAGTATGATAAGATTAGCTTACGGTACGTTATCTTTTCCAAGCAGTTTTTTTTCCTACCTAAGCTTAAGCCTTGAGAGGCTATTTCAGCGTAACCTTACTGGATCAGAAACGCGACCCAATGAGAAGATGCGGCGAGAAACTGAGTGGGCTGTGTCTGTGGGTTAATTTACTCGTCGAGCCCTTCGTCGCAAGCGACGGGTTCGACAAGAACGATGACCGATGCTTGAGGTACCTAAAAGCACCGTTAGTGAAGCGGGAGGAAGGTATGTACGAGTAAAAGCTGGAGTTCACAAGCTCACACAACACAAAACACAACAAGAGTTCAATGCTTCGTTTATTTTTCTATTTATGACATAAATGGGGTTCAGTGGTCGTTGAAGCCCATAAACATCGACAACATAAGCCCTGATAGCCACTTTGAGATATGAGTTGAAGTTTCAGTTCCATATAGTAAGAGACCCCACTCTTCAACTCGGAATGCATTAGAGCTTCACAAAAACCTGTAGGGTGGTGGTACCTACCCATCCGGGTTCACAAGACGCTCTACCACCAGCAGGTTTTAAATAGCCCAACAGTGTTACGACAAGGAAAAGTCACTTATCACACACAGCTTATGCTCACAACGGATAAAATTGACACAATCAGTTACATACTAGTAAATTTCCTAGACTCGATTGAAACAATATTTGATTTTGCACGAAACCACATAGAAACTCACATTTGATTAGATTTACCGTTACAAGCTAAGATTGTGTGGTTCACACTACATTATCGGATAATTATCTCAATTCCTTCCTACATTAAGATGGGTTTAGGTAACTTGAATTGCGCACGGGCGCCGTCACACTTCTTGACGAATTACAAATTAACATTAGAGTTACGCCTTTTTCTTCAATTATGGGTATTCAATGGCGCTTTGAAGATTGAGAAATTTGAAGTGAATAGACGGATGTGATTTTTCATATTCGTTTTTTTTTATGAAGTGCCGAGTAGTATTTTTCAAAATTTTATTATTTTTATACTTACTACACCTACCGCCCGGTCAGAGATAATTTCAACTACATACCATACGATTCTTGAATACTATACACGCTATGTACGAAAACTCCTGACAATTTAAGCGCCTTATTATATTTGCTAAAAGATAATCTTATTCAGGGTATTTCGCATTACACAAATTTTCTAATCCTATATGAATTCACGAATTACAATAATTTTAACGGCCGTCTGGTGTAGTGGTAAGTGACATGGTCACTACACAAGGGGGTCGCGGGTTCGAATCCCGCCAAGGGAACATATTTGTATGATAAATATAAAATGTATTTTTCATTGCTATGGATGTATATTATATATATGTATGTGTATAATAAAAATCTTACATTCATTTCCGTTATCTGGTACCTGTAACACAAGCTCTTTACGAACTTAGCACGGGACCAGTTACCGTGACGTGATCATTAGTAAAGTAAAATTTTGAGGTAAACTAGTAAAGTGTTGTTGTGCTATCTACAAGCACAGATCACTAAACTTCTCGAAGAAGATATCGTCCTGACACTTAAGCCATAAACATTAGCCGGTTAAGATAACGTACTCCCTCAGCAAAAAAAAAACGCCTCGGAAATCCCAGGGACATAACCTAACCGCTACTTAAAGCACAGGTTTTCCCCTGATGTCCGAGACTAGTATCTTTTCGACCAGGCTTTTGTCTGTAAAATGGGCCAATTAAACATTATAATATGCTGGTTACCGTGATTTTTTGATGCAGACTGTAGTAACAAAATACCCCAGCTTAAACCACTTTGGCCTTTGTTATTCTGCTACATATAATGTATTTGCATGTTGTTATGTGAAAATGTATACGGAACATCGGAAAACTGTATAAAAATAATAATAATGCGACAATAAAACAAAAGTGCACATACGGCTCGCGAAAAAGCAATAAAATACTAATATTCGTGTATGTTTATTAAAATAATTAATTAATCTATAAAAGCGATTAATAACGATCCCATAAAGATACTATGTTCGATACCGCGGTCAAGTCGCAGAGAACTCGTTGCAAAATGATTTATGGGATTTTCGATAAGTGGAAGTTGAATTAGTTGCGACTGTAGGGCAACTTTGTTGTATTTTAATGTTCCGATATGATATTTAGCTTAGCCAACGATCGTTTTGCACTATTAATTTGTTTTGAATGATGATAATCAAGTTTAAAGCATACAAATCTAAATATCGATGCAAAATAAAATATTCTTGGTTGTTTAAAGTAATTTCTGAAACATATTCATAAAGATCATAGTATTTTTACTTCGGGATTCGCGAGTTGAAGACGTAATGAAAACTATTTTTACTGTTTAGTTTCCCGTTTTTTTACTGCCCGTATATTATTTTTCCCGACGTTTTGAATACTCCACAGTTGTCGTGGGAGGTCATTCGTCAAAATTTGTTATTTTTCTATTTAAAAGATTGCTAAACTTAGAAATGAAACATATGTATATGTCGATAACTATTTCTTTACAGAAAACTAGTTTTATGTTCATTCATGATTAATCTGGTCCCTGTTATTAATTGATAAAAACAGGATTTGATTTTGAAATCTCACTTATAGCGACTCAAGTTTTGAGTATTCGATATGGAATTTATTTTGTGTGATAACCTTGTAGTGTCTTATAGTATAACGAATATGATAAAAATATTAAGAGAAAAGCATTGGTCGAAGAAGAGCTATTTCCAATGTGTGACGGAGTTGGGAATCAGACTAAAAGCTTAATAATTCAGTGTTGTATTTGACTAAATTAATCAAAAAAGTAAGGCAAATGTAACGAAGTATAATGAATACAGCAGTATGAATACAACTTTGATAAGAAAAAAATTATTGACGTGATAACGTCTTATAATTCAATGGACCAGGCTGCACGCACGAAAAAACATGACTTATGCGGCGTTACCTCGCTCTGAGGCGTTCCATTTAAGGCTTGAAGTGCAAGCGAGAGCGCGCAACGAGCGACAGAGGCACAATCGGCCTCCGCGTTCGGCAGTGTTCGACATCTGTCTCTCTCCTACTTGAGTGAGCGATGCATCCGCGTGGATAGCTGCTATACAATAATATATTTACATGTTTTCGTCAAGTATGAAGTTCAGTGAAAAGTGAATGTGGTGTCAATTGTTTATAGCAACGATAATTGCGATAATTGAAAAATGAAACCATTCCATCAGTATTTTCTTATGACGTTGTCACGTTCAACTATCGTCAGTAACCGACTTTACCGACAACCGTTTTTTTTTTAATTAAAAAAATAACGCGTCTTTTCTTAGTATGTGGTTTGTACAAATAAAATGAACCTTTCGATGAAAGTTAATTGGGTGGGTTTGCCGCAACCTTCATTATTGAAATGTAAAAGCGTGCGTCATAAGGACTTCCCGAGGAAAGGAAAGCGAGTATTTTTATAAGCAATTTTTTGCTCAATTTTGTTTGCTCTGTGCTATTTTTAACATGGCCGGTTTCACTAAGCCTTCGGAGATTTCATTAATCTACGTTTAACATTCGAATGTTTCGTTATGCAGTTA